ATAGCGTGATTATAATTAGCATATGGGGGATGGCGCAGTGGTGGAGCGCCTGGAAAATTTTCTGCTGTCTCACGTCAGCAAAGATCCAAGGTTCGAATCCTTCTCCCCTCACAACCATATTTATGGTCCACCCACATGAGAGAGTTACTCATTAAACTACCTATTCGACTGAGAGAGTTACTCGTTAAAACTTGAGAGGAAGACTCATTTAAAGTGAAAGATCTGAGAGAGTTACTCACTAAAAAAACTCTAGGCTACGAGCCTCACCTTCATTTAGATAACCCCCTACATTGTACCTACTCAATTTGTACCTAGATTAAATTCTAGCCTACGTAGTTACTTGCAGGCCTTAAGCCTGCACGTCTTATATAGCCCTTTGGGCTGAGAAAGGACGTTAAACTACAATAATAATAATAATAATAATAATAATAATAAAATCATAAAAATAATAATAAAATCATAAAAATAATGATAATAATAATAATAATAATATTAATAATAACAATATTAATAATAATAATATTCTAAGCTTGGTTATATACTTTTCGACTACGAATATACGTCTGACTCAGCGTGGATATGCGTTCTGCCCCTGATTAATTGCGTAGCACTATGCTCGAAAGTCTGCTTAGTAGTTAGAGCAGGAATAGACTTGAAGAATGCGAGCGGAGATATAAATATGTGTATGCCATTAGCACAAATAACTTTCTATTTTGCAAGTGCCTAAGAATTGTCAATTCTATTATTATCTTACTAAGAGACAAATTTCCTTCATTATCTACAATATGAAGATCCTTTCAATCGCAATTATATCTAAACTTGCTGTCATCGTGACTGCTGCAGATTGTAAGGTTCAAGCCTTCAGTCAAAGTGGTTGCGACCAAGTCAACGGTCAACCTTGGTTATGGAGGGTAAGTATGGTATTGAGTTCATATACCCATGTTCCGCAATACCATGACGTTCTAGTCTAGTCGTGCTCTATCTTGCTAATTGCTTTTAAAGTGTACTCCCACTACTAATGATCCTGCAATGAAATATGGGCCACCAAACAACAACTGCGCATTCCTTTCAGGGCATCCCCAGGATAAATATTACTGCGTGCGTATCTCATTTCAATAGTTTTATTACGCTTCTTGTAAATGCTAACAGAATTCATCAAGTGCAAAAAACCTCGATAGACTCTGTATGATAGGCTAGAGCCCTTTGCTCCCTTATCTTCTGTAACCTCGATTCCTTTCCGTACAGCCCGATTGCCGCTCAGGCAGCTAGCATATCCGCCTGCCCCTATACATAGCTACGTAGCCTAGATCTTAGCTCTCTATCGAATATAATTGTAAGGCCTTGCGTTTACTATATATACTATCCTGTGCAGAGCATCAGCAGAACGCTGATTACTCGTACCTTTTGGTTGTAGTTAGTGCAGTAACACAGTGCTACATTTCTTACAACAACCTCCTTATCTAACAATTCCTATTAGTTATAGCTCTTTAAGTCTAGTGTGAGAGGTTTGGCAGGTAGGAGCAAGAATATTAATAGTGTTCTGACGAATCCTTGAGTGTTCTTTCTAAAGATCGGATGGGAGCTTTATATACTATACAGGTCCTCAGCTTTACTAACCCGAGGGTGTGACAAGTAACAAGCAGAATTCTCTCCTTGTCGAAGGGCCGCAGGATGAAGACCTAGTGAGCGCCCTGACAGAAGGAAGTGATCTCTGGTGCGGGCACGTGACGTACTATCCACGCCAAGACGGGCCATCAGTGACAGCCGGACCCTATCTGATGGAAGGCCATTAGAGGAGAAGGAACTATCAGTGATGGCGACGAACATTCTAATGGAACGATAGAATTAATACATATAAAGGATGGACGGATTTTATTATTACACTCGTGGTTGTAACGATGTTACAGCCTCGCCAAGTACCGGACCCATGCCGGAGCTGGGTCGGAGCAAATATCCGCCGCCCTCTTCAGCAGTCAGTTGTTCTTGCGTCGGATCCGATTCGGATCCGACTAAGGACGGGTATTTATTGAGACACCTCCTGTAGCTAGCTCTGTAGACTTTTGATATCCTTTCGTATAAGGCCTATAGGTGTCTATTTAAATCAAGGCTCGTTTGATGTCCTACGCACTTCCATATGCCTCTAAGTGACACTTCCGCCAATACTGATCTGAGTAGTCTTGCCTGCGCCGTTACATTAGGTAGAACAAACGGCGACGGCGGCTAAAGTCACGTTGCAACAGCACATGTTGCGGGCATGCGCCACAGTCATTCTTAGTAGTTAGCTATTATAGGTATAGCGTCGAATTTGTTACAATAGCGTACGGCGATATCTGAGCACGCTACTGCAAGCTAGCTACATGCTAAGTACTACTAACAGCGCACGTCCTTTACGATGCGTTTTAACGATCTTGCCGTCTACGCGGAGAAACTATCAGGATGTGTACTTATTACTCTAAATCGACTTTTTAGGACTGCATTCTCAATCTTTGCTATCCTAGCTTCCTTTCTAACCTACCGAGCTGTTTGTAAAAGCGTACTATCGCGGAGGAGCAGGGGGTATTAGAGAAGAGTTAGAACACAGCATTAATAGAACGAGCGATAGCACGGCCAACAACGCGCTTTTTAGCATCGGATGCTAATATGCTAGGAGAGTAAGAGCTCTAGAGTAGATGCGCATCGCGCTTGTCTACATACAAGCATGTTGTGGGATAGTCCGAGGGTCCGGAAGAGAAAGTGTCCCGTTACACCGTGCGTCCTGGCACGCAGGGATGGACGTTACCTACTTCTTTAAAGCTTGCGCTCTGTAGTTGTCATATTTCGACGACAGCGCACATTGTGAGATATCTCTTAGCCAAATTGGCGCGGTGTAGCGTTGATGGTGGGCATTCAAAAAAGTGGATGGGATTGGTGTGGGTGGGGTGGATAAGCTTACTGAGGCCAGACTTATGAAACGTGACTGTATTTTGAAGTTTTCAGACGAGTGTGGTATCGCCCAAGGATCTGGCCATAGCACTACTTAGGTATGGCGATTACTAGAGCAAAAATGGTCTCATAAGATAATAAAAGCTGTCCCTACTAGCCAGCAGCCCGCTTGCATAGTATACGCTGCAATTTAGATAGATTCAGATGGTGTTGTAGGCCGTAGCCCTCTCGTAATCATAAAACGAGACTCATCACGGCGTTAAGCTGGATATACGGCACGGAGCTACTTAAAAGCACTTATAGAAGGGATACTACCTAATTATAGCGCTAGCGAGCTATTTATGCGGGATAACGCGCGTATCTACAACGCTCAAATCCCACAGCAGTGGTTGAGAATTCATGGGATAGAAACAACCGACTGGCCACCATATTCTCCTAATCTCAACCCTATCGAGCACCTCTGGTGGGCACTTAAAAAAACTCATGAGCTTTATCCCAAGTTTGAGTATATAGGCGACACAAATATTAAGTGGGAGTAGTTTGAAAATGGGTTGCGCGAGGCGTGGTCAGCCATAACTACCTGATTCTTTGATTACGAAGCTAATTTTGAGTATGCCGCGCCGCCTCGCCACTGTCCGTAGAGCAAAAGGGTATCAAAAGATATTAAGATCTATAGCTACAATTTGGTTATTTAAAATTCTTCCTAGACATATTTTGGTGGAGTTGGCACGGCGTTGAAATTGTGGAAAAAAGTGGTGATGGTAGCCCGAGCGCTTAGCTGCACAGACTTTTAGAGTGTGACTGTGTTTGTTGTGATGGAGCAGTGCTATTGTTTGGTGGGATGCTTAGGTAATGGGGACACAAATTATTTTTGATCGGGTGGGGTGCTCAGGCTCCTAAGATAATGCCTTGGCCTGCGTCATACGACGTAACAAAGCCCCCCGCCACAGGACAGTAATTTCCTCGCCTCTTCACGCACACACTCACTGTCTCGTCCGATCCTATGGAAAACTGGCTGAAACAATCTGGGGCGTCAGGCTTAAACGGCCCCGAGCTTGCCGACTTCTTGGATACCGGCCGCGGTGTCAGAACGCGGAGGCGATTCGAGGAAGGAGAAAAAATTCTCACCATTCCACATCGCGTTCTCTGGACAGTCAAACACGCATATGCTGATCCACTCCTTGGGCCAGCCCTTCGCTCTATGCGGCCGCCCTTGTCTGTCGACGACACCTTGGCTACGTATATTCTCTTTGTCAGATCGTGTGGGTCGGGATACGATGGACTGCGAAGCCATGTGGCGGCGCTGCCTGCAAGCTATGCTTCGAGCATCTTCTTTACCGAGACTGAGCTGGAAGTTTGCGCGGGAACTTCGCTCTACACTACCACGAAGCAGCTAGATCGCCAGATCAAAGACGATTATAAGAGATTAGTAGCGCGACTGTTTGGACGACATCGAAAACTGTTTCCAGCCGACAAATTCACCATCAAAGATGTAGGTATTGCAACACACGGAAAATGCTGTGAATCAGTTACTAACACTTATTTCCTATCTTTCAGTACAAGTGGGCTCTCTGCACCGTATGGAGTCGTGCTATGGATTTTCAGCTACCCGATGGAGATTCAATTCGACTTTTGGCCCCCTTTGCGGACATGTTGAACCACTCGTCCGAGGTTAAGCAGTGTCACGCCTACGATGCCCTGTCTAAAAATCTCTCTATTCTTGCCGGGAAAAACTACGAATCAGGAGATCAGGTACGTCCGTCTTGTTTTCTAATGCTACTACATAATTAGTACGCTTACCTAGAGGTGTTCTTCCAGGTTTTCATTAATTATGGGCCTATTCCAAACAATCGCCTTTTGCGTCTCTATGGGTTTATCATGCCCGACAATCCCAATGACAGCTATGATCTCGTTCTCATGACGCATCCCATCGCGCCATTTTTTGAGCAAAAGCACAAACTCTGGTTATCGGCTGGGCTCGATTCGACCTCTACCATTTCTCTTACTCTCACTGATCCGCTACCAAGAAGCGTCCTTTGATACCTCCGTATTTAGCGGCTGCACGAATCAGATCTTGCTATCATAGCGGCTCATTAAAGCGAAGCTGCAGTTGAGAAAATCAGCGATTTAAACGAAGTGGAAATCCTGCAGTTTCTAGTGGAATCAATTACTAGTCTTCTCGACGGTTTCGGAACTCAACTCGAAAAGCTGGAAGAGCAACTCGCAGAAGGGTTCTATTCCCCGGGAGGGAACACATGGTCGGCGGCGCACGTCAGCTTGGGTGAACAGCGGGTGTTGAGGTTGACGAGAAAGACAGCGGAGGATTTGTTGGCGGCGGTAGAGAGCGGAAGTGGAAATGGGAGTGGCCTGTTGTCGGCACCGGCCCAATGCGCGAATTGCGAAAATGTTTCTGTGCAGTTGATGCAGTGCGGAAGGTGCAACAAGGTCATGTACTGCGGGCGGACGTGCCAGGTCGCCCATTATAAAGAGCACAAGGCGATGTGTCGGGCTACATCAGCTAAGAATGGTTCTAACAGGAATTAAAAGAGAAGTTTTGACTAGCCTGTAAACAACCTTCGAAAGAAAACCTTAAGCCTAACTCCTACTACAACACAAACTTTGTGCAACTTTAGTGTTCGCTAGACGAACTAAGATGCATGGCTATAGATTGTAGGGGAATAGAAGCGTTCGATGTAGTAACATCTCTAATAGTTGAAGATGGGTCAGCCTTTTCCATCAGCCTTTTAAGGCAGTGTTCAAAAGCTTAAGCAAGCTAGGCCTCCACAAACTGGAGTAGCTATGTGGGGCACTCGTATTTGTTGCGCTCATAGATATGGGCTGGCAACAAAGAAAGCGAAGTATATCCACCAGTGTCTCACTTGCTGTAAAACAGACAAACAGACAGGCTTCTTCCATCTAAGCTTCTGTTCTAACCATTTTCGGCGCTCTTAATATTAGGCTAGGTATGCGGGTTTGCCTAGTTGACGTAGCAGTAGCAGCAAAGTAGGTTAACTTAGTCTAGCAAAGCGACAATAGCATTATATAAGTTGCCAAAGGACAATTAGCTGATAAGGGGGCGGCTGATACTTCCTCCGATCCGGCTCTAGGATTGGCCTGATGCTTAGCGAGGTTGTATTATTATTATTATTATTATTATTCCATTAGAGTCTATCTGCAGTCAGTGACTATGTAAGACTTTGGCCAGAGGCCGTTCTAGGTACAATTTGTTTAAAGTGAGAGTGTTCTCTGTATAGTACTGCTATTGTGCTGCGGTTTAGTCGCTTCTAGCTGCGCTTAAAGCAGACTCCAGTTGCTGAAGAGCAGTTTAGTAAACAGGAAGAGATGTTAGACAGCAAGGGCTGTCTTCCAGCGAGCTCTTTTAGGGCTAAGGAAGTAACTTAGAAAGTTTGTTAGTTATTATTGGTTTTAGGTAGTGTCTCTCTGTTCTCGCTATTTTTAGTTATCTTGTTCTTGGCCTAGATGCCAGCCTCTAGTCCCTACTCTAGTTTTAGCAATGAAAGCTAAAGTCGCCTCTCTGCCTTTGCTAGTGTGGAGGAGTAGTTGGATTGTTAGGTAGTTCTCGCGAAGAGTTGCTTTTAGCGCTTGCCTTTCTATGTTGTAGTGCCA